AACCATTAAATAAGTTTGATATGTTCATAGATCTAAATAGGTATAAAAGACAATTATGCCTAAAAAAATGCTTCATGAGAATAGAACCCCCGATACATCAATCAGTCATTTCAAAATATATCCACACAGATTTAAAAGAGAAATCAACCTTTTTTCCTAATAATTTTATATCTAAAGAAATGATTACTTTCGAAGAATCAGTGATGCGGGATATTAACCGAATTAAAACTAAAAATAAGAAATATATGAATTTAAATAAAGGCGAATGGACAGCTTTGAAAGCTCTACAGAAAGACACTCATAGGGTCATTAAACCAGCCGATAAGGGAGGTGGAATTGTCATTATGAATACAGATGATTATGTGAAGGAGGGCTTGAGACTAATAGAAGATAAAACAACATATTTCAAACTATCTGGTGATCCCACAATGGATATCAGAAAGAAATTCGTAAATTTGTTGTCAAAGGGAAAAGACATTGAAATATTAAATGAAAAAGAATATAAATATTTAAACATTTCTAAACCAAAAATCCCAGTTTTTTATCATCTCCCTAAAATTCATAAAAACTTAACAAATCCCCCAGGGAGACCGATAGTCTCAGGAATAAACTCTATATCAAGTAGACTATCGGAATATTTGGATAAGTGCTTACAACCAATAGTTCAAAAAACTCAAAATTACCTTAGAGACACATTAAATGTTATACAGATACTACAGAATATAGAGTGGGAATCTGACTATATATTAGTGACAGCAGATGTCAGTTCCCTCTACACTATTATCTCACACACAAAAGGTTTAGAGGCGGTGGAATTTTTTATTAGAGAAGAAAATAATTACCCAGAGGAACAAATTACCTTCATTTTGGAAGGAATAGAGCTCATCCTCCAAAATAACTATTTTTGGTTCGAAAATGACTTTTTTCTACAAAAAGTCGGCACTGCCATGGGGACCAGGTTCGCTCCGAGTTACGCCAATTTATTTATGGCTTATTGGGAAACCAAATATATAGATAGCAATACTGACTGGGAAGCGAACCTGGTCTCCTATAAAAGGTACATAGACGATATATTTTTTATCTGGAAAGGGTCAGAGCAACAACTTAAAATATTCTTAACATTTTTAAATACAAATGACTGGGGTATTATATTAACCACTGAGTACAGTACCAAAAGTGTTAATTTTCTGGATTTAACGATTTTTATAGAGGACAATCGTATAAAAACACAAACTTTTTTTAAACCAGTTGATGTGAACAATTATATCTACCTCAATAGCTGTCACTTCTCTCCATGGCTAAAAAATATCCCGAAAGCCCAGCTGATGAGAATACGTAGAAACTGTACAGATAACAACACCTTCGAAATCCAAGCCATTAAGATTAAAAAAGACTTTATGGAAAGAGGATATGAGGAAACCTCTCTTATGAACACTATAAAACAAGTAAAAACTATGGATAGATCATCTTTATTAAAATATAAATTTAGAGACAAAAGAGATGACAATATTTTACCTTTTATTTGCAATTTCAACCAAGAAAGCTATAAAATTAAACAAATAATAAATAAACACTGGCCCATATTACGCAATGATCCCATGTTACATTCCATACTACCGGAGAAACCGAAACTTGTGTATAGAGGAGCCCCTAATTTGAAACAAAAGTTAGTCCACAACCATATAAAGAATAAGGTATCCACCCCCTTCTTTCATAAAGAAGGTTTTTTTGGTTGCGGGCAATGCCTGGCTTGTAGGAATACAAAAAGTGTTAAAAGACATATAACCGAATTTTATGACCCAAAAGGGGAAACTAAATATAAAATAAGACAAATGATTACATGTTTCTCAAAAAGGGTCATATATATATTGAAATGTTCATGTAACCTCTTTTATGTAGGCAGAACAAAGCGCCCTCTACAGATAAGGATAAATGAACATATCCGGAACATAAAAAGAGGTTTTGATAAACATAGCGTTTCGGAACATTTTAATCTAGTACATAACAGAGACCCCCAACATTTAGAATTTATGGCAATTCAAAAGGTTATGTTAAACTGGCGAGGGGAGGATGAAATAAGAAAATTGGGAAGAATTGAGACTAAGTGGATTTTCAATCTAAACACTTTAGCTCCGTTTGGACTAAATGCGGATTTCGAATTGTGTCACTTTTTATAAATATTCATGCAAAGAGGTCACAAAAAGATATAAGAAAGCCCTCTTTTTCACTTTTTCAATTTTTTATTAATAATTAATTCAAATCATCTATGTCTGGATTTATTTATTTATTTATTTATTTATTTATTTTTTTTTCCCTCTTCAATTTAAATAAATTACTAAATTATGATCAAATACAATATTTAACCACTATCCAGATTGGAAATCCACTGAAAATAATTGCACTGATTTAATATAAACACAATTGCACATTTGCACATACCTAGTTTATATGAATCTATTTATTTATTTTTTATTTATATGTTTCAAATATGCACTTTAAGGTCACTAACTTAAGATATATTGGAGAATTATGCTTGCAGAAAGTATGCACTGAAAAGGACTATGAATTTTACAATACATGTATCTATTTATTCATTTTTACATGCTTTAAATATGCACTTTAAAGACACTAACTTAAGATATGTTGGTGAGTTGTGATTACAGACAGAATGCACTGAGGAGGACTATGAACTTTACAATCCATGAAAACCGGAAGTGACACGACGGCATTTGCGGCCGCGTCACACTGAATTTAGATCGGTAAAACCGGAAGTGATGAATCACCCGCAAAGCATTATGGACTCGGTAGTTCCAAATAACCGGAAGTGACGTGACGGAACTCCGGCCACATCATACACACATATCGGATTGGATAATTGAGAAAACTGGCGGGAAATTCAAGCTTTTTAAGGAGAAAGAAACAGAGACTGTTTTGAAGCTGACTGAGGAAGCCGTTTTTACCGGCGAAACGCGTTTTGGCTCTTAAAGTGAACCTATATATATATATTTTTAAGGTCACATACTTTTATATCATACTGTTTTTTACTGTTTTTTATTTTCTAGAAATAATAGTGTATTTTTATAAGACTACTTGATAATAAATTGTTCCCATATTTTATCCATCCATTGTATCCTACAAAAGTGATTTAAAGGGGCAGTGTCACCCCAAAATTTGACACTGGGCAAATATACTTAGAGCCGGTTACCAAGGGCTCTAAAAAAGGTGAGCATTTCTCTATTTCTACTTATATGAACAATATTTCGATTCTGGGATGCTACACTTAGTGTGAAATATTTGTATCTTTTATATACCCAGTGGAGAATATCTTCATAAGGAGAGAGGGGTCGTGTGTTCTACCCAAAAGACACAGACGTGCAGAAGTTTAGAGCCTAATACTAGAAAAGGCTCTAACAAATGTGAGTGCACATATTCACTTATTTCATCGATCACTCTATTTAAAGACATATTACACTATCATTTGTATATGTTCTTTTTGTTCTCTTTTTTATGTATGAATTGTATTAAGAGAAGCGAAAAAGGGTAAGAGTTCCGAGAACACACTTACTCAGCACTTATATAGCGCTGCACTCACTTAAGGAACTCTAGATCTGGATGGTGGCAACATCATCCAAATCAAAAAGTTCTTTTGCGTTTTGGTGATTGTTTAAGTAGGTTCTTGCCTGATGGCAGTATGAACATAGGCCTAAGTAAAAATGTAGAAAATGTAAACACAAAAAGGACGTAGGACCGTGTGATAATCGTGATAAGTAGAGACCGCGTCAGTTCTATAGTGAGAGCCCCGTAATGAATACAGTACTATACCTTGATTTGTCGTACAGGTACTTGGATGGGCGTAAGTGGTTTGTCTGGAGGCCTAGAATAATGTTGGAGTTAGGTATTAAAATCATTGTACAATTATTAAAATGAAAGTGGTTATAACTAGAGTTGAGTGGACACCACGATGTTCGGGCCCTGAGGGTTCGGCCGAACTTTGAAAAAAAGTCTGCGTTAGGGCTCGAACTTGACCCCGAACCCGAACCCCATTGAAGTCAATGGGTACCCGAACTTTTGGCCACAAAAATGCCTCTAAAAAACTCCTGGAAAGGGCTAGAGAGCTGCAAAAGGAAGTACAATGGGGGTAAGAGTAGGACAAGTGCCCTGCAAACAAATGTGGATAGGGAAATCACTTAAAATAACATAAAAATTTAAAATACAGCTGAGCCATGAAATAGAACTAGATGGAATCTTTGATTTTAGCTTTGGAAGAACATAAATCAAAATCTAAAGCATTGCTGTCAGGAGGATCTTAAGAATTATCCCTTTGAGAGAGGGTTGGAGTGCAGGGTATTCTCTTTCATTGTTCAAACTGAGCTCAACTCCTGATGCATGGAGAAAAGGCCTTCACAAGCCTCTGCTATTGTGTACATAGTTTATACTAAGTGACCCATAGGTTGAGGAGGCGGTGACCATGGTGGTGTAGATGGAAGCGGCGGTGGAGGAGGAGAAGGTAGCCAACACTGTTTTTTTTATATATATTTTTTTATTTTAATTGGAGTAGCCCCCAAAATATTGGGACATACAGAAAAATAAACATTTGTGGCCTGCGGTGCATTTCTTGCAGTCCTGATGCATGGAGAAATGCTCAACTCCTGATGCATGGAGAAAAGGTATTCACAAGCCTCTGCTATTGTGTACATAGTTTATACTAAGTGACCCATAGGTTGAGGAGGCGGTGACCGTGGCGGTATAGGTGGAAGCAGCGGTGGAGGAGGAGGATGAGGTAGCCAACACTGTTTTTTATGTTTGTTTTTTTTAATTTTGGTACCCCACAAAATATTGGGACATACAAAAAAAAGAAACATTTGCGGCCTGCGGTGCATTTCTTGCAGTTCTGATGCATGGAGAAATGCTCAACTCCTGATGCATGGAGAAAAGGCCTTCACAAGCCTCTGCTAAAGTGTACCTAGTTTGTACTAAGTGACCCATAGGTTGAGGAGGCGGTGACTGTGGCGGTGGAGGAGGAGGATGAGGTAGCCAACACTGTTTTTTTTATATATATATATTTTTTATTGGGGTAGCCCCCAAAATATTGGGACATATAAAAAAGACTACTCTGTTCCGCAGAGTAGCTGTTGACATTATAGTTGCGCAGGCACTTTGTTGACTCTAGAAAACCTTGGGTCAATCGCACATGCCCATGACGGCGACTTGATATCAAACCATGATATCAACTTTTGATGCCAATTTCTGCTCCTACCATGGTGACTACAAGTAACGGGGAATCAGGGTTCCATTCCGTACAGGGACCCTGAGAAACGGCTACCACATGCAAGGAAGGCAGCAGGTGTGCAAATGAACCACTTCCGACGCGGGAAGGTAGTGACGACAAATAACTATACAAGACACTTTAGAGGCCCTGTAATTGTAATAGGTCCACTTGAAATCCTTTAACTCTGATCAATTGGAGGGAAGTCTGGTGCAGAGCCACTGACCCGTGCGTGATGCAGCTGAACCACTATCACCTGCTGCTGCTCGCACAATCTCATGAGGTGGTGAGCGGGAAGGCTAAAGTTACGCTGCAGTGCAGACAGGCGAGCAGCAGCAGGGTGAGAACGCCAAAAGCGTGCACAGCCATTACAGTGAATGTCACATCCTGTTACAAGTTGCGAATCAGTCTGGTGATGGCTTCTGGTATCCAGTACTCTTTTTACTGAAGCTGCATCAGGGTCCTGGTATGTGGCCGCACAAACGCTGGTGGTCAACACCAGGGGGCGTGCAGTTACCTTGCACCAGATCCTGCTAATCCATTCCACACTGTGACTCCTAACTTCAACATCAGGCATACTGGGTCCCGGTCGTCCAACCGCCGCCCAGACAGTGTCTGGGCCCTGGTCACTGGACTGCCCACCTCACTGTGAAACTACGAATGGATTGTTAAATCTGGTACGAACCCTTACTTTGCTCAACTCTATTATGGATCCTTTGATCGCTACATGTATTACTTGGATAACTGGTAATTCTCAAGCTAATACATGCTGACGAGCGCTAGGGGACGCCCGCTCCGCTTTTGCACCCTGCTCCCTCTTATGCTGTGCTGGTGCTTCTGGGCGACCAGCTCCTCTTCCTCCGAACTGCACACGTCACTCGCATGACCTTGATTCCATGTGGGGTCTAGGACCTCATCATCCTCTACATCATCTTCCACCCACTCCTCAACCCTGCCCTCCTTGCCGATATGCACACTGCAGAAAGCCACAGCAGTTGGCACCTGTGTTTTTCCAGCATGTAAAGCCTGCAAAGGACATATGGAAATTGTTTTAGAATTGTATCCAGGCAACAGTTTTCCCTATAAACTGACCTCTCAGTTTGACTTGTGAGGGTATTGCCCCAGAATTACAATATTGTTTAAGTACCTCTTAGCTATTGATAACTGTTTTAAATATAGCAGCTTGTTATCTGGTAGTTTCTAGTGTAGAAAATATCAATGTTTTCTATCACTTAGATCTGTGTAACAAGTGTTGTAAGTATGAAACAATATTACAAGTGACCAATGTAGTAAATTCGAATCAAAGTTCCATTTGCAAAAAAAATTCTCGCCCATCTTCTGTGGGTTATTGCATTTTTAAGATGTAGATTTATTGTATCACACTAGCCATGCACAGATACATTGTCTGGCAAGTTGTTTTGGTGTTTGGTTTATAACTTTGTAGTTGTGTCTTTACACAATATAGAAATGTATATTAATGCTTCTGTATATTGAGCGATCACAATAACACTTATTTTTTACTTTAAAAAAAAAAAAATCAGGCTACACAAAACTTGGTAATTCACAATATGACATCTGAAAAGTATATGAAAGGATGCTGTATGATTTTTAAAAAAAGAACACACTACATGAAGGTCCTGTTCACTAGAGTGTGTAGTCATGAATGTAACGCTTACTGTGTACTTTGTTGTTTGCAGCCACTGGTTGTCCCATACATATTTTAAAACTTGTTTAATTTTGTTGTAGCATGACTTGTAGATATGAAGAACAGGCCCCAAAATGTACTATTTAGCAGATTAGCACACAGAAAATAAGAATGTTTACCACTGCGCTGTAAGCACACTATTAGATGCTTCTATTTGACTCTCAGATATGAAGTGCACACCCCAAATATACTATTTAGAACCCCCCCAAAAAATGTGACTTTTCAAAACTCTAATGTAAGCAGCAGATTAGCAGCAAAACAATTAGAATGTTTACAACTACACAGTAAGCGCACTATTTGAGGCTTTTATTTGACTCTCACATATGAAGTGCACCGCAGGACGCAAATGTACTATTTAGCAGATTAGCACCCAGAAAATAAGAATGTTTACCACTGCGCTGTAAGCACACTATTAGACACTTCTATTTGACTCTCAGATATGAAGTGCAGTCCGCAAATGTACTATTTAGCAGATTAGCACCCAGAAAACAAGAATGTTTACCACTGCACTATAAGCACACTATTAGACGCTTCGATTTGACTCTCAGATATGAAGAGCAGGCCCCAAAATGTACTATTTAGCAGATTAGCACCCAGAAAATAAGAATGTTTACCACTGCGCTGTAAGCACACTATTAGAAGCTTCTATTTGACTCTCAGATATGAAGTGCACCCCACTAAAATACTATTTACTATTTTAGTTTTAAAACTGCAATGTGACAGCAGTATTTGACGCTTCTATTTGACTCTCACATATGAAGTGCACCCCACTAATGTACTATCCCACTAATGTACTATTTAGCACCCAAAAAAATTTACTTTTTAAAACTCTGATGTAACCGCGGTATTTGAAGCTTCTATTTGACTCTCTGATAGGAAGTGCACCCCTCTAATGTACTAGTTTGCAGAATTCTTTCCTAAGCTGTCCCTATCAGCAGCAGCATCCTCTCCCTACATTAAAAAGACCTCATGTGCGTGCGCGCTACGCAACTCCATCTTATATATAGAGGCTGGGTCACCTGCTCCACTGGCCAATCAGAGCCATGCCATTAGTAGGTATGGCTGTGATGGCTTCTAAGGGCACACAAGTCAAACGCTTGTTGATTGGCTGCCCTGCAGCCTTTAAAAACGCGCCATTAAATTGCCAAACACCTAACTCCAACCCGAATATACAGTGATATGTCCATGTTCGGGTTCGGGGTCCAAAAAACGTAATGTTCGGGGGGCGGGACCTGACCAGCATGGCGACTAGATGTGTTTCTGGGGAGCTCCCTGGAACACAATGTACAAACTGAAATCCTGAGCTAATCCAGCTACTATACCTAAGCCTGATACCCCCTCTCAGTCCTACGACATGACAGAGGGACTGAGGAACACACCCTGTGGCCCTCTCAAGCGATCTGGTAGCCAAGATGCAATGGGGCCTAGTGGGCGCCCTGGGGGGGGAGAGGCGTCCGCTCTCTCGGACAGGCGCTGGCAGAGCCCCAAGCGATCTACTGATACCCCACTGTCCCCCCCTTTGGACCGGTGGGGGTTATCCTGGTCCCCACCCGGCAGGCACTCGTGACCCACCAAGGAGCCACGGCAGTACCTTAGAAGCCGACATTACCGCCAAAGGTCTCCCTAAGATGGCGGATGCTGCGGTGGCCCTCACCCAAGGAGGAGTGGTGTCCACTACTCTCCAGTGCCTGGATGCCCTCATCAAAGCATTTTGGGAGAAGCTGAGGGCCAAGCAGCCACTACACGAGACCGTGAGAACTCCTATGCGACCTACCTGTCATACACTAAGCAGCCCGATAGCACTCGCCAGAGGCCCGCTACGCCTGAGACGGCGGAGGAAGCGCCCATGTGCCGCAAAACAAGCCGCACAACGAAAGGCAATGAGCAGACAAGCGGTGAGCCGTGGAGCTCCACAGCCATACAGCCCCTTGGAACACACGAACGACAAGCAGAGAGCCGAGGAGGGAGAAAGGCACCTGCACAAGCGAGATCAGCAGCTGCCACCTCCGGCTGTGGGTTTGCAAGCCCATGCTCTGTGAGACAGTAAATTCCCTATAATGGGGATAGGCTGACAACCAAGTCAAGCACTATGCCACATGCTATAACTATGGTAGCTGAATGTAAGCTTAACATGCTCTTTAGTAAACCCCAGTTGAAGAGTACTTCCAGGTTAACCACTTACATTCCACTTTGTCATCCCTGTCTGGATCTTAACCTAATCTTAATTTTAATGTGCATATTATGTGGCCCCTCACTGACAACCAACATAGAGCTTATAAATGTACATCCACTCTCTGCATAGCTTAGCGGTTTCATTCACTCAACATACAATGGCATGGTCCCTGAACATGTACATATAGGCATAGGTCCCTTTATCTAATCCAGGTTATGCAAACCGTGCTTGGCCCCCAGTTTCACCCTGTTATTCTTCCACAAACCAGCAGTAGCACTTGATGCATAATTAACAAAAAAAGTGCAGACTAAGAGCTATTGCTTTGTCCTCCTAGGACATGTCTCTGAAGTCACTCATTAAAAAATTTGACAGTTTATTAAATAGCTTGTTATTGCTATAGTTAATACCTGATTATCCAAATACATTAGTCATCATGGCACAGAATCGCAGACTGGTGCAACTGTTTATACCATGTTACTAATTTATTCTTACGTACAATCTCTAAATACCAAGGCGGTCAGGATGCTGCAAGCATGTTCGATCTCATACGGATTGTTATCACTTGGACATGTCTGCCTAGCTTACTTTGTTATTTAAAACAAAAATGTGCACATTTTTCCATGCCACAGTTTAACCTATGTTTAACCATAAATATACTCTGTTGTGGCATATGTATGCACCTTGTACTCACCTGCATAACAAAAATAAAGAATTAAAAAAAAACGTAATGTTCGGTACGAACTCGAACTTTATAGTTCGGGTTTGCTCTACTCTAGTTGCAGTAATAAACAGATTTTTTTTTTTACTAAATTGACCAATTTAATACAAGCAGCTAAGTAACCGAACTGGTAAGTATATATATATATATATATATATATATATATATATATATATATATATATATATATATATATATATGTTCGTATAGTACGTACGAACGAAAGCTGATAATTGCACGAAGAGGGGTCGGCAGACCACACGGGGGACCCACTGAAGCTTAAGTATTGTCTGCATTCGACTAATTCAACATGAACAGCAGAAGTGTACGAACGGGTAAATATGCGAGGAACAGATTTTTTAAACGAACAGAAAATAGCATGAACCACTAAATGAACGAATGGGTAAGTATACATGTACATAGTTCGTTTGTATGAACGAATGGTATACAAGAATTTTACACCAAAGTTTACCCGAACAAGGGTCGGCAGCTTAGACCTCACGAAGGACCCACGAAACGTGGGT